ATTTTCTTGTAAATTAAAAAGTAATGCATCACTTTACTAGTTACTTGAAAAAAGTAATCTGATTACGTAACTTGAGTTACTTGTAATGTGTTACCACAACAGTAACAGTAACGTAATGCATTCCTTTCCATAAAAAGTAACTAAGTAACGTAATTAGTTACTTTTTTAGGAAGTAACGCAATATTGTAATGCTTTCCTTTCCATAAAAAATAACTAAGTAACGTAATCCGTTACTTTTTTAGGACGTAACGCAATATTGTAATGCATTCCTTTCCGTAAAAAGTCACTAAGGAACGTAATTAGTAACTTTTTTTTTTAGGAAGTAATGCATTCCTTTCCATAAAAAGTAACTAAGTAATGTAATTAGTTACTTTTTTAGGAAGTAATGCAATATTGTAATGCATTACTTTTAAGAGTAACTTTCCCCAACACTGTGTTGGTCTGAGCGGTTTGATCTGTTCCTCAGGTGGAGCTGATCGTGCGTCCGTCGGATGAGGTGATCCCGCGTCTACGTGAGGATTTCGGCGTGGAGCGTCTGGATCTGGTCTTCATGGATCACTGGAAGCGCTGTTACCTGCCGGACCTGCAGCTGCTGGAGGGCAGCGGTCTGCTGGGTGAGGGCTCCATCATTCTGGCCGATAACGTCATCTTCCCCGGAGCGCCCAACTTCCTGCGACACGCGCGCCGCTCGGGCCTGTACGAGGTCAGAGTTCACCGCGCCACGCTGGAGTACATCCGCGGCATCCGTGATGGCATGGCCGAGCTCACCTTCCTCGGGATCAAGTAAAACACGCTTACAGGATGTTAACGTGACGCTCTGAACAGTTCGTGTCACAGCTTTCGTTTATTTGATGCTCGTTCACTAACGTCAATCATCAGGTGATGAGCAACATTCACATTTATGCATTTATCCAAAGTGACTTGCGTTGCATTCAACGCACACGTTAACATTTGATCGTTCCTTGCTTTCCCTGGGAATCGAACCCATGACCTTGGCTTTGCTAGTGACAAGATTTACTGTTTGAGCTACAGGAAAGACATGGAACACTTATTAAGTTTGTGGATTTGTGAGATCAACAGGTAATTAAAGTTGGCATGAAATAAAAATTAATCTTACTAATTTTATTATGGACAATTCATCTGTGCATTTTTTTTAGCTTCATGTTTTATTAAAATGTAATAACTGGATCTTCTGGTGAAAACTTAGTAACGTAAAATATTTTCAGAAATATCCACTGGACAAAAAACTCTGGTAAATAGTAAAATGAAAACATAAGTATTAAGTACTTTTATCCCTCACAACTTCTTTTCATTCATCTTTCTTTCTTTATGAAACAGAATTTAATATAACGTTTAATATACCACATGATATATATATATATATATATGTAAATATATAAAGATATTTATGGTTACATTAATATATAAATTGCAGTTAATTTCAGAAAAAAAAAAAATATATATATATATATTAGTGCTGTCTAACAATTAATCGCATCCAAAATAAAAGTTTTTCATAAAAAGTAACTAAGGAACGTAATTAGTTACTTTTTTTTAGGAAGTAATGCATTCCTTTCCATAAAAAGTAACGTAATTAGTTACTTTTTTAGGAAGTAACGCAATATTGTAATGCTTTCCTTTCCATAAAAAATAACTAAGGAACGTAATTAGTTACTTTTTTTTTTTAGGAAGTAATGCTTTTCTTTCCATAAAAAGTAACTAAGTAACGTAATTAGTTACTTTTTTAGGAAGTAATGCAATATCGTAATGCATTACTTTTAAGAGTAACTTTCCCCAACACTGTGTTGGTCTGAGCGGTTTGATCTGTTCCTCAGGTGGAGCTGATCGTGCGTCCGTCGGATGAGGTGATCCCGCGTCTACGTGAGGATTTCGGCGTGGAGCGTCTGGATCTGGTCTTCATGGATCACTGGAAGCGCTGTTACCTGCCGGACCTGCAGCTGCTGGAGGGCAGCGGTCTGCTGGGTGAGGGCTCCATCATTCTGGCCGATAACGTCATCTTCCCCGGAGCGCCCAACTTCCTGCGACACGCGCGCCGCTCGGGCCTGTACGAGGTCAGAGTTCACCGCGCCACGCTGGAGTACATCCGCGGCATCCGTGATGGCATGGCCGAGCTCACCTTCCTCGGGATCAAGTAAAACACGCTTACAGGATGTTAACGTGACGCTCTGAACAGTTCGTGTCACAGCTTTCGTTTATTTGATGCTCGTTCACTAACGTCAATCATCAGGTGATGAGCAACATTCACATTTATGCATTTATCCAAAGTGACTTGCGTTGCATTCAACGCACACGTTAACATTTGATCGTTCCTTGCTTTCCCTGGGAATCGAACCCATGACCTTGGCTTTGCTAGTGACAAGATTTACTGTTTGAGCTACAGGAAAGACATGGAACACTTATTAAGTTTGTGGATTTGTGAGATCAACAGGTAATTAAAGTTGGCATGAAATAAAAATTAATCTTACTAATTTTATTATGGACAATTCATCTGTGCATTTTTTTTAGCTTCATGTTTTATTAAAATGTAATAACTGGATCTTCTGGTGAAAACTTAGTAACGTAAAATATTTTCAGAAATATCCACTGGACAAAAAACTCTGGTAAATAGTAAAATGAAAACATAAGTATTAAGTACTTTTATCCCTCACAACTTCTTTTCATTCATCTTTCTTTCTTTATGAAACAGAATTTAATATAACGTTTAATATACCACATGATATATATATATATATATATATGTAAATATATAAAGATATTTATGGTTACATTAATATATAAATTGCAGTTAATTTCAGAAAAAAAAAAAATATATATATATATATTAGTGCTGTCTAACAATTAATCGCATCCAAAATAAAAGTTTTTGTTTACATAATATATGTGACCCTGGACCACGAAACCAGTCATAAGGGTCAATTTTTCGAAATTGAGATTAAGCTGAATAAATAAGCTTTCCATTGATGTATGGTTTGTTAGGATAGGACAATATTTGAAAATCTGGAATCTGAGGGAGCACAAAAATCTAAATATTGAGAAAATCGCTATATTTATTATGTATATATAAATACACACACGCATGAATATTTTTCAGAAGAATATGTTATGTTTATATATTAAATATATTTTTAAAAATATAAATTATATGAATATAAATAGACATGTAAATATTCTCAAAATATATACTGTATGTGTGTGTGTATTTATATATACATAATAAATATATACAGTACACATAATATATTATGTAAACAAAATCTTTTATCATCGATTAATCGTGATTAATTGTTTGACAGCACTAGTTTACAGGTGTTTTACCTGTATTCAAAATATACAGCCCCCCACTTAAAGAGAATATTCAAGATGCTCCAAAACAAATAGAGTCCAGGAGGGTGTCGCACTGGAGGCTAACAAGGGGTATGGATGTGATAGGGCACACAACTTCGTCAGTGAACAACGGCTCGGTGTAGTTAATGCTGCTCAAAGTGAAAGCCCGCAGGTGATGGAGATTTACCGCTGATTACAGAACCGGCTTTACTGATAAGATGCTCGTTAAATATCGCATGCGATTTATCGTGCAGCCCTAATATAATACATAGGCAACCAGAGATAAGAAATGTTTTTTAACAGAGTTTTAAAAATGGATAAAGTTGATTCATGTCGGTAAATGTTCTTTTAATTTGTTAAAGATTGCATGAAATGAAAATGACCCCATCTAGTCTCTGAATGCATCTTATAGATCTTATTGTGAACAATTCAACCCTGCATGTTTTATGTTTTTTAATTGTTTGACATAATGTTGAATTCTTCTTAAGCTCCGCCCCTACGAACTCACGCTCATCTGCATAGACTTGAGAGCCACGCCCACATCTCTTTCACTTGTCATGATGCGGAGGAAAAGAGCCTTCACGTCTTGAATGATTTAAATAAACAACTGATTCTATTCAAAAGGGACGGAAAATTGACAAATAATACAAGATGAATAATTGACTACAAATTTATTTACAACCGCAAAGAAGTATTATGATACAAACAGCTCAAAGCTGTTCCTAATCTCTCAGTTCAGTCAAAGGTTCATGAACACATGATTAACAGCCGTCGGTGGTGATATGGTGAGTTGGGGCTGTAAAGTAGATGTTTGATGACATGCAGAAACAGCGAGTAACTCAGTAACGTGATCGGCCGTTAAAAAGTGCTTACAAAGTGACAAAAGTTCATGTTGCGACAAGTGCTGCCTTTATCAGAAACACAGTAACACTGAACATTCAATGTCTCATGATCTGTGTGTGTGTCTGTGTGAGTGTGTATGAGTGTGTGTGAGTGAGTGAGCGAGCGAGCAAGTGTGTGTGTGTGTGTGTGTGTCTGTGTGTGTGTGTGTGTGTGTGTGAGAGAGTGTGTGTG